GTACTGCACTGACGCCTTTCCGTTCAGTTCAAGCCATCTTCCACGGACACTCAGAGCACCAGATCACATTGGAACCACCGGATTTACATTTAGAGTCCCGGAGTTACAGCACAGGAGACCCTGGGAAATCGGAACGTTGGAGGTCGTGCGCTATCGAGCCAACGCTGCGGTCAGTTCGACAAGACGCGATCATTGCACACGACATAGTTGTATGACGACAGATGACTCGGAAATGCCCCCGGCAAGCTAGGCCTCCTGTGTTACAGTGTCTTCCCATCGAGGTCCATGACCAGCACAGGACACCGCGTTGCACCTGACATCCTTTCCTGGGTGGTACAACAGAGGCTCCGCCAAAAGAAAAATAAATTATGATGAGGTATCTTCGACGCAGGGTGCCGAAGAGGTTCAACAAAGCTTTTTGACGACGGACGGCGGTTCATAAACAGCACAGCGTGATACGGGTCAGGGAAACACAGCATCGTCGTCGTGCAAAGTCAAATGCCTCGAGACCAGACACCGGGAAGACGCGACAGGCATGCCCGCAGGGACATGTCTCGTTTGAGTAACCTCAAAAGAGCAAGTATTTAGACCGAGCGTTGTGCTTTCTTTGCCGCAGAATTCATTTTCTCCAACACCTCACGCCAGACTTCCTTCTTTCCTCCTGGTTTTTTTTTCCTCCTTCCGTTTGTTTCTTTCGCATCAGATTGGGACTATCAGGTCCCCGATAGTGTAGGTAGGTGTTGGACGCCCCACGCTCTGGACGGGGCGAAGGACTGTTTGCTCCGGACGCATCGCAGGGTCCTGTCGCAAAGAGGACAAGATTGACATTCCCCGACGGTCTCGTGGCATGCCATTCGCACAACCGCGTTGCTGGAGTTGGGGCCAGAGGGGTCTGTGAAGAGGGGTTTTTCTTTCGCTGGGATTCCAAAGGGGAGAGTGCCAGCACTGCCAGCACTGCCAGCACTGTCAGCAAGTACTACTGCCAGGCGATACCAAAACTGACGTCTCCACATGTGCTCGGCTCCACTCCAGAGCGGGCTAGTTGAACCCCAAGACCGAACGGCGCAGAGCGAAGAGGGGGATGGAGGGTCCCGGTGTCGAAGAACGTCCCGTGTCCAGGGCCCAAGTCGGGGGCCAAGACCCAGATTGCCATGTTTGCAGTATTCCCATTTCCCAATTTCCCATCCTCCTTCGCCTGCCTGTGGGTACCCTTCCCTCCCCTACAGCGCACTATTTCCCTTCATCACCAGCAGGACACAACTCACGACCCGACAGCACCAGCCGCAGACGCAGTCGACTTGATTGCATCACGCACCTAGGAATCACGTAGGTACAGGCGAGTTCATGTAGCCTGCCTACTACCTAAGGTACGGTACCCGGGCACCCATTTATCTCACCACCCGGCAAGCCAAGCAGACAAGCGAGCCAGACCAAACGGTGAGTCGCAGGCGCATTTCACTTTCACCTTCCCATCCCACAAGGCCACAAGGAGAGGAAGACAACGGGCAGCTTTACGTTTCCTCGCCTGCCTTCGTCCCAAGCACCTCCCCAACCCCAAGAGACTGGCATACCTTTGGAAGGTCCTACCCAACACGGCAGGCACCTCGTCAGCATCGTCGAACAGGAGCAGCAGGCGCCCTCCTTCTTTCTCTCTTGTTCCCAGTGTTGCTCTTACTGATACGTACCTTTCTTGCGCAGGCCTGACCGAAAGATTTCGCTCCGTACCTGTCCGTACCTTACCTTATTACTTACCTCACCTACCCACCAAATCTACCAGCGTTTCCCCCTCCCCCCCCCCCCCCCCGCCTTGGAGAAGGGGTGCGCGGTGCCTTATAATTGTTGGGCAGGCGGAGAAAAGAACCGACGCCAGAGGGAGGATGGACGGGGGGGGGGGGCCCCGAGTGGAAAGAGGAAAAAAGGTTTTTTTATTTATGGCGAGCGGGGGGGGGAACCCCAAAAAAAAAAAAAAGGGGGGGGGGGGGGGTTGATACAGCCCCCGGGGAAGGACAACACTAATCTAATTTTTTCGTGACGCACAAAATAGCACCAAAGGGACGTTTGGCGCCCCCTTTTCCTCGGCGGGGCCTAATGCGCCCCAAAAAAGAGAGTTAGATTTTTTTTTTTTTTCTCCCC